GTGAATCGTAAAACCTAGAAGAGAGAATGACATTGCTTCCAAAAACACACGGGGTGTACACCCACCCTGTGACATCGTTCCTGTCATCTAAAGGTAGAGATGATGATACTAATCCCACTACCGGAAAAGGTACACACCCCCCTGTGATATTGTTCCTCATAACTTGTGGGGGAGAGTATGATATTGCTTCCAGTATGACAGTGGCTTGACACCCAGTCTGTGATATTGGTTCTGCACACCAACTCTGTGCCCCTCGTTTTCCATGCGTTCTCTCCACACTTTTGGAACCTCGGGGGAGGCTTTGTCTTTGGTTACAGATGAAGAGACGAAGGGTCTGAGAGGTTAAGCAAGTTTGTTACTGGAAAGCGGTTCCGATCCAGACCCCAAGAGAGGTTTCTTGGATCTCACAGAAGAAAGAAATTGGAGAGAGTCCATAAAGTGAAAGCAAGTTTATTAAGAAAGAAAAGGAATAGAAGAATGGCTACTCTCGCCGGGCGCAGCAGCTCACCCCTGGAATCCTATAACTTTGGGATGCCGAGGCAGGTGGATCACCTGAGGTGAGAAGTTCGAGACCAGCCTGGTCCAACATGGCAAAACCCTGTCGCCACTAAAATACAAAAAATTAACTGAGCGTGGTGGCAGGTGCCTGTAATCCCAGCTACTAGGAAAGCTGAGGCAGGAGAATCGCTTGAACCCAGGAGGTGGAGTTTGTAGTGAGCCAAGATCATGCCACTGCATTCCAGTTTGGCCAACAGAGCAAGACTCCATCTCAAAAAGAAGGAAAAAAAAGAATGGCTGCTCCATAGGCACAGTGGCGCCAAAGGCCGCTGGTTGCCCATTTTCATGGTTATTTCTTGATCATACACTAAACAAGGGTTGGACTATTCACGAGTGTTCCAGGAAAGGGGTGGGCAATTCCCAGAACTGAGGGTTTCTGCCCTCCCTTCTGAGACCATGTAGGGTAACCTCCAGATGTTGCCATGGCATCTGTAAACTGTCGCGGCGCTGGTGGGAGTGTCTTGTAGCAGCTAATGCATTATAATTAGCACATAATGAGCCGTGAAGACACTCAGATGTCACTCTCGTGGCCATCTTGGTTTTGGTGTGCTTTGGCCGACTTTACTGCAACCTGCTTTATCAGCAAGGTCTTTATGACCTGTATCTTGTGCCGACCTCCTGTCTCATCCTGTGACTAAGAATGTCCAGCCTCCTGGGAATGCAGCCCAGCAGGTCTCAGCCTCCCTTTACCCAGCCCCCATTCAAGATGGAGTCGCTCTGGTTCACGTGCCTCTGACAAGTTGGCCTGGGTTGAGTGTTCTCTAGTGTGTGGTGGTTGGAGCTGTTCCTAGGAGTAAGAGGTATTGCCAGTAGGAAACAGGTCTCTGTTAGCCCGGGGGCTGGCACTCTGCCCCAGTATGTCGGCCTCATTTTAGTGGTGACAAAACTGGGGCTCAGAGACATCAACTCCCTCATCCCGACCCCCAGACTGTCAGTGGTGGGCTGGGGTTTGAATGTGGGGATTGAAGACCCATCATCTCCTCTGGTCCCCCAGTCTCTGCTGCCCAAGAAGAACAGGATCCCAGGATCCAGGCCCCTCATGGCATCAGCCAGGATGGGTGGAGATGGGGAGGCAGAGTTCCAAAGCCCCCCGGACTCTGAGGCAGGTCGGGGACCAAGAGCAACCCGGACCTACGGGCCCCACCCCGAGAAGAATAGCTGCAGGTCTGGCCCAGCAGGCAGGATGTCTGTGTCCTCAGTGAATGTGACGGCGCTTCCGGCTGCTCCAGCCAGGCCGTGCTGTCTTCACGTTTCCAATCATGCGGACTCCACTCCAATTCCCAAACCCAACCCACAGAGACAGCGATCTGGGGTCCAGCTGAGGTTTGTCAGCAGCTTTGACCCGCTGCTTCCCGCCAGCCCCGCGGCCAGTTCTGGAAAGCTCTCTGCTGCCCCCTGCTGGGGAGGCTCAGGGTAGGGCTCTGGCTGCAAGCATGGGGTCCCAGAGCCTCCTGGCTCTGTCACCTCTGCTGGGTGGAAAACCAACCCAGGACTGAACCAGCAGATGGGTGCCTGATTCCTTATTATCAGAGCTCCGCCCACTGGCAAGTCTCTCTCGGGGCCTCAGTTTCCCCTTCTATTAAACGAGGGGCTTGGGGATACCAAGGAGCCGTAACTACTTACTGAGGATGGGAGGTTTCTTCTGGGGAGATGAATATAGTTTGAAACTAGATGGCGTGAGTGGTTGCACAGGACTGTGAATGTACAAAAGCCACCACATTAATCACGTTGAAATAGTTAATTGCGTGCGATGTGAAAGATACCTCATTTAAAGTGTTTAAAAGAGGGGCCTGGGAGAGTGCAGTGTACGTGAGAATCACGTGGGACACCCATAGTCTCTGAACCTCTGTTTTCTTGTGTAAACTGGCAAATAGACCGTGTGAACTGTGTTCCCTGGGGCCAAGAGATTCCAAGAAGGAAAACCTGGGATTCCTGGGACTGGGATGACGGCCAGGGGCCAGAACGGGAGGGGTACGTGGGGACGGCTGGGGGGCAGCCCAGATAAGGCTTTCAATACTGGGTAGCAGCGTCTACACAGACGGAGATCCCTGCATCTCACTTACCACAGGGCTGACCAGTGGCCAGAGGTGGGACTGGCCAAGCTCGGCCCAACCAAGTTTGGGAGCAGAGGACACTGAGAGAGGGATCCCCAGGCCCACCTTCACTGGCCTGTGGCTGTCCTGACACCACAAGAGAGGTCCAGGAGCTGACCTTGGGTCCTAATGGGGGACACCTTCCTGGCTGCAGGGTGGCAGCGTGGTGTGGTGGTCAGTGAACTGGGCTCTGCGTCTCCGTCCCTACCTGCTGTGTGACACTGGGCCAGACACCTAACCTCTCTGTGCCTGTTTCTTCAATGGCGAACAAGGACACTAGCAGCCCCCCCATCCGGGCATAGTGGCCTGAAGGTTAAAGGCAAGGGTGGCACGAGACCTACAGCAAGAGCTCTGAGCAGGGAGAGCAGGGAGCTGCCCAGGGAGTTCCACCACTATCTCCCCTCTGGCCGCCGAGGAAACCGAGGCTCATGGTGACCTGACCCAGGTCTGTTGGACTCAGGGTCCTTCTCATCCCCAAGATCAGAGGGCTGCCACCAGGGAAGGAGCTGGCCCCTAGACACAGCCCAGGAAGCACACAGGGAAGGATGCCTTGGGGACTTCGGTATGTTATTGCAAAAAAAAAAAAAAAACACATTTATTGCTATTTGAACCCTGCTTTCATGCCTCCATTACCCAGAAAGTGAGCCACGGGAGACACCAGGAGAGGCAGGAGACCACCCTCCTTGCACAATACCCACTCCCTCGGATGCTGTCCTCAGTGAGGGTGGCTGGGGGTCAACCACGGGGCCCACCCGCAGAGTGGCAGAGGACGTAGGTTGACCCTGCGGATGTTGAGCTCTGTGGCGAAGGTCCTTGCCTTCTGGTAGAAGAGCGACTTCTCGCGGTCCAGGAGGAAGTTGTGGGAGATGGTGGCCGGCCGCGTGTAGATCTTCGGCTGTGCCTTGTTGCCCAGGTCCACAGCGGCTGCCAGTGCCAGTTGGTAGTACCCGGCTGCATCAAACGGATCCTGAAAGGGACAGGCCATGCTGAGCAAAAGGGGGACTCGGAGCCCGTCTTTCCAGAGGCCGTTCCTGTCTCCAGGTCATTCCACATGTCCATCCGATGCTGGCTCACCCCATGAGCCCCGAAGCCTGTGACACTGCACAGCAGGGTGTAGGGACAGTCAGGACAGCTCCCAGGGTGTCAGGGTCATCCCCACCTCCTGCAGCTGAGACCGAGCAGTGTCACTGACAGAGCTCATGGGAGTGACCAGCATCAGTTAGACCATCGTGGAATAGAAACCTGGAGAACAGAACGGCCTCTACCAGAAAAACAGGCTCCAGGTCCCCTTTTTACTCCAGCACTTGGCCTGCATCACATACTGGAATCGTTTGGTGGCAGGTGCTCTGCGCTTCACTTTGTAGCTGCTCGCTTGGACATAGGCAACAAGGCACAGCCGAAGATCTGCAGCAGCTGGCCTGTCTACAACTTCCTCCTGGACTGTGAGAAGTCATCTTCTACCAGAAGGCAAGGACCTTTGAGCTCAACATCACCCAGGGTCAGCTACGTCCCTCTGCCACTCCTGGAACATGACCCGTGGATTGACCCCCAGCCACCTATCACTGAGGACAGCATCAGGGAGTGAGTGCAGCCATTCCACGCTCCCAGCCTGTGTGTAGCTGTTCTTGCCGGGGTGGTCTCTGCCTCCTCCTGCAGTTATCTAAAATGGCTCCTTTCTGGGTAATGGAGCATGAAAGCAGGGTTCAAATAGCAATAAATGTATTTTTTTGCAATATACCAAATTCTAGGCATCATTTACAACAATGCATAACTCCATCATTCATCCATCCTTTTATCCATCCATTCACCCGTCTATCCATTCACCTGTTGTTCCATCCATCTATCATCCATCCACCCATCCGTTCATCCATCCTTTCTCCCATCCATCCATTCACCCACCCACCAATCTACCTATTAATGCATCCCTCCATTCATCTATCTGTCCATTTGTTTATCCATACATTCGTATATCCACCATCTATCCATCCACATGTACATACATCATCTACCCTCCACCCATCCATAATCTACCCACCCATACATACATACAGACATACACACATCATTCCATCCATCCACCCCTCCCAGCATTAATCTATCCACACACCCGTCCATCCATGTGTCTATATCTCCTCATCCATTCATCCATCCATCCACTCATTCCTAAGCCACTGCTGAGCACCTGTTGTGTGCCTTTTCCCTCCCTCCACCTGGTTCCCTCACATCCTCCCCCGGTGGCCAGCATCTTCTCCCTGAGGGCAGAGGCGCAGCCCCTCACAGTGCCCAGCACCTGCTGGTATACAGCACATGCTCAAATAATGTGACCACTGAGTTAACACACAGAGAACTTGCTCCAAGCGACAGGTGGCACATCTCCTTACAAAATGAATCTTAATCATAGTGGCTGTTTTCAGAGGCTTTCCCAAACGCAGTGTGATCTGGAACAAATTGTGAAGCACACGAGCCTGGTGAAGCTTTCATTATTGAGCACCTGCTGTATACCTCCTTGAGCTGAGGAGAGGGATCAAGAGCTCATGGTCAAGAGGGGACCAGGCCCACCCACAAACACTGTTGATGTGGCAGGGATGTGGCAACGCAGAAAGGAGCCAGGGGCTGGGCTCCCAGCAATCTGGGGGCCACGGAGACTGGTTTGAGTGCAGGTGGAGTGGGCTAGGGCTAACCCTGTTGGTAGGATTCACAGGTATCAGGCTCCTGGGCTGCAGCTGCTCAGTCACCTCCCGGCACTCAGGTGCATCAGTTCATTGTCCTCATGCCAGTGGTGGGAGCAACCCTCATGCACAGGGTCTGAAAAATGCTCAGGTGTACCTGTACTGTGTGAGAGGAAGGAGCCTGGCAAAGGCGCACGTAGCCTCCTCGCTAGGTGTGGGTCTTGAGGGAACTTCTGTCTCCTTTCAGGTGGCACAGAATGTGGACCTGTACACAGGCGACCCCAACCTGGGGCTGGAGCTGTTTGAGGCAGCTGGAGACATCTTCTTCAATGGGGCCTGGGAGCGGGAGGAAGGCATGTCCTTCTACCGGGTGAGCTGGCCTGTGGGCTGATGTGGGTGGGCCTCAGTGGGGCACCTGGAGGGCTGAGGCACAGGTGTAGCAGGGTAGAGGCCTCACACCTGGAGGCAGGGCCACCCATGCACATGATGAGTTTCCAAGTGGTCTCACTGGGAATGATATTGACCATGCCCCTGCCCGGGACAAACGCTCAGGGCCTGGACATGACAATGGCTCTACCCTTGTACCTGATGACCTCAAGCAACCATGAGGGGGAAGTCCTGTCCCCATCTTCCAGATGAGGAAACCGAGGCTCAGAGAGGCACAGGGATATGTCAAAGGACACACAGCATACCAGTGGGAGGCCCAGGTCTGCATGCATCCCAGAGTGGGGCAGCTTCTCCCTTCCTCTGAGCTCACGGTGTGGCTCAGCCCTCGGCACAGATAAATGTGGTGTTTTTAGAGCGGAGAGGAGTGCTGGCTTCCCCCAGTCAGACCCCCGGTGGGTCTCCGAGGTGGGAGAGGCTGGTCTGAGGCTGTCGGGTGTAGCTAGATGGGCGGCAGGTGACTCTTCAGCCCCCAACTTGGGTGTCTGAACTATGTGTTATCCCAGAGCACAGAGCTGTGTCGAGGTGCAGGGGTAGCTGGGGCCTGGGAAGCTCCAAGCACATGTTTGAGCTCTGAGAAGGGCGCTGGGCAAGGTGGGTGCTGTGGGAAACCTGACCCCACCTGCCTGTGTGGTAGGACCAGTCCCTGCCCCTGGCAGTGACTACGGGCAACCGCAAGGTGGAGCTGCAGCTACAGCTGTGCAACAAGCTGGTGGCACTCCTGGCCACACTGGAGAAGCCCCAGGAGGGCTTGGAGTTTGCCTACATGGCCCTAGCACTCAGCATCACTCTGGGTAAGTCCCCTGAGCCGCTGCCCTGCCAGGACCCACACTTTGCCAGAGCCCAGCCTCCAGGTCTGCAGGCCAGGAGCTGAAACAGCTGCTGGATTTTCCTGGTCTCCTGTCCAGGCAGGCAGATCTGCCCAACTGGCTTCCCCGTCCGGCTGTGAGGAACAGCCCGAGGTCTCTCACGCAGTGCAGAGTTCCCTGCCTGACTGAGCTCTGCTTCCTCTGCCTGTTCCCGCTGCTGACCACAAGGGCCGCCCAGTGTGCCCTCTGCCTTCCAGACATGCCAGGCATCTCATTGGTCCCTGTATGTGTCAGGCTGAGTGGCACATTCCCTTTCTCTTGTTCCCTTCCCACCCTCATCAACCACACGGCTCTCTGGCTGATAAAATCCCGGTTCCTCTTCCAGCAGTCTGCCCCTTAAGGCCGGGCATCCCCTGGTGCTGTGCCAGGGTCATCTGTCCCCCTCCAGAGACAGAGAACCCTAGGCAGGCCACATGCCCCAGCGCCTTGTGTCCCGTGGCCCTGTACACAGTAGGTGTGCAGCTGACTCCCCAAGGTAGGGGACTCTGATCGTGACACACCCAGGAGGAGTCAGATGTCATGTCTGTGGGTTGCCTGGAGCCAGGGAGCCCGGGAGTACCTGGACTGCATGGCTTTTGGGCTCCTCTGGTTAAAACCAGTGAGCAAAGGCAGGTGGCTATGTGTAGACACAGAGCTGGGCCATCCAAGTCCCACTTTGCCAAAGCCTCACAGTAGACAGGGGCAGGCCTTATTAGTTCTGCTTTGCAGATGGGAAAGTGAGTCTGGGAACCTGGAAGAGAATGGCCAGAGCTGCCCAGGTGACCACAGGTGCCTGGAGGCAAGTCAGGTGTGCTGCCTGGGGTCTGCATACCTGCTCCTGAGGGGCCTGTGCCCTCCCTGCCCCAGGGAGCCACGTCCTCACACCTGCCCCTTTGGCCTGCACCCCAGGTGACCGGCTGAACGAGCGCGTGGCCTACCACCGGCTGGCCGCCCTGCACCACCGGCTGGGCCATGACAAGCTGGCGGAGCACTTCTACCTCAAGGCCCTGTAGCTCTGCAACTCGCTGCTGGAGTTCGACGAGGAGACCCTGTACTACGTGAAGTTGTACCTGATGCTCGGTGATATCTTCTTCTATGACCTGAAGGTGGGTAGGAGGGGCAGGGCTCGGAGTGTTCCCGGCCCCCTCGGGGTGGGATCCCAGAGGCCTGGGTTCCAGCCTTCCTTAGGAATGGCCCAGTGGCCTCCCTGGAGCTCTGTACCCAGCTGGAGGAGCCAGCAAGCTTAGCAGATATAATCCAGCTCCCAAGATGGCCAGGTCCCACCCTCAGGAACTCAGTCTCAGCCACGGAGGCTAACACACGAGTGGGCAATGGTGGCCTCTGAGTAAAGAAGGGGGATTGTAGTCAGGGGGCCCTCCTGGAGGAGGTGACACCAAAGCTGAGTCTTGACAGTCAAGTGTCAAGTTGCATTTAACAAAGAAAACAGGGTCGGGAGAGTGACATTTCAGAGGATGGCATCATCCTCACATTGAATCCACGTTGCAAGATCCAACCCAAATCCTGGCACCTCCTCTAGGAAACCTGCCCAGGGTGCCAGCCTGCACTGAGCAACTCCTTCCTAGAGTCCCGAGACACCTTGAATCTTCACACCACCCAGGAAGGGTGGGGTGGGACCAGTGTCTTACCATTGGGTTCACAGACAGGGAAACCCCAGCTCAGGGCAGGTGTATTGGGGCGAGGCCCCAGCCAGCCAGGCCTAGGCCTTGCTGGGTCGGGTCGGTCTGGAGGGGACGTGCTGTGCTCCCTCTGCCCCCAGCCCTGCAGGGCTGGAGAGCTGGGACTGGCAGACTCAGACCTGGGCTGTCTCCACCCCTCTGCCCAGGAGGCACCGCCCCTCCTCAGCATCGCACTGGCACCGCGTCAGTGCTCCTTATGGGCTGAGGGGCCAGGGCACTCTAGTCCAGGGGCCGAGATCTTGGGGGCCTTAGAACAACATAAGGAGCTGGGGCAGCCCTAAGACCCTGCCCCGTATTCCCCACCGCAGGCCTACGGCGGCCCGGGACGCCTCAGCCCAGTGCTGGCGACACCTGGTGGTCAGAAGTGGTCCCTGTGGACTCCCAAGTCCCAGCCAGACAGGGAGGTGCCAAGTGTCAGGCCCAGGGGGACACTGCTCACCGCTCAGGGGCTCACCTGGGACCCAGGAGGACGGGCCTCCCAGAAGAGGCCTTTATCTCTCTTGGTCAAGCCTGCCACCCACTCCGCCTGTCCAGGAGAAAGGAAAGGGCCAAGTAGTACCTGAGAGGCCAAAGTCCACGGTTGGGGTCGAGGGGCAGAGGCCTCCTTCACCTCCTTGCCATGCACAGTCCTCCTTCACCTCCTTCCCCTGCACAGTCCTTCTTCCCATGTACAGTCCTCCTTCCCCTTCACAACCCTCCTTCACCTCCTTCCCATGCACAGTCCTCCTTCCCATGCACAGCCCTCTGGGCCTCATCGTGACTGTGCTGTCAGCACAGGCCAGCTTCCCACAGGGAAGCCCCCTTAGAATTCCCCAAGGGCGGCTGTCTTTCTAAGGCTACACCCTTCTCCTTGTATAGGAGGCTCTGGACCCAGGGCCCAGAGGAGTGGGAGAAAAAGCCGGGCTGGATGGAGTCTGGAAGGCTGGCAGAGAAGCAGGGGAAAATGGGCATCTTTGCCGATTGCCTCTAAAATGGGGTCCCCTTTACACGTGAGAGTGAGCCTTGGAATAGGGTGGATTAGGTGTTTACTGGCTCAGCCTGCCACTCACTAGCTGCTGCACACACTACAGGCACACGGAAATGCACACGCAATTTCGCACAGGCACGTACACAGGGACACACATGCAGGCACACAAACACGTACGAGCACAGGCACACGCAGAGACATATGCATTGACTGGCTCCTTCCTGTTTAGTTGGGAAGCCCCCACCCCTTCAGGAAGCCTTTGCCTTCCACCCCCAGCTGAGTCTGGGGCCTCCTGGGGACCCCACAGGCTCCTGGGCTTCCCTCTGCCACAGCCCGGGCCACCCTGTGTGGTCAGTGTTGACTCTTAAGTCCCTCAGACTGGGAGCAAGGACGTTAGGCTCAGCCACGCACCCAGCGCAGAGTCCAGTGTTCGGCTGGGCTGGGAGCATTGGATGAGCAGTGGCCGTGACTCGGGGACTTCTCACGCCCCTGCTCCGTGTGTGGGGCGGGGCAGTGAGGGAATGGACTGCTGCATCTTGGACTTTGTCATTGGCCCTGGGAGCCATCTTGAGATGGTAAAGAGGGACAGGCCAGGCATGGGTCTTAGAGAGGTCCCTTGGGTGACCCCCATGTGGAGGAGGTGCCTGGGGAGAAGCCGGGTGGGGCATGGGAGGGTGAAGGAGGAAGTCTGGGAGACGGCATCCCAACCCAGGGATGGTGAGTTTGAGCCAAAGATGCATTGAAAATGGGAGTGGATGTCTGGGGAGTCACATTCCGTCAATATTTCAGGGAGCATTGCCAGAGAGGACACCTGAGAGATGGTTTTGTACCTGGCCTGGCCCCTGGAGGGCCTGGAAATGGTCAGCATGGACAGGGGCCAGAGGGGAGCCTAGGTCACTCAACGCTGTGCCCCTGCTGTGGCTTGGAGCCACGGGTCCTGCATCGAACTCTCAGAGCAGGCGGGATCTGCCCTGACCTCAGCCCATGGGGAAAGCAGCCACTGCCTGCAGATAGGGTGGCACAGGAGCAGGAGGCTTGGGGTGATTGGGGTGTAGGGACAGTCAGGAAGGCTTCCAGGGGTGTCAGGGTCATCCCCACCTCCTGCAGCTGAGACCACAGCAGTGTCACAGGCTTCGGGGCTCATGGGGTAAGCCAGCATCGGATGGACATGTGGAATGACCTGGAGACAGGAACGGCCTCTGGGAAGACGGGCTCCGAGTCCCCCTTTTGCTCAGCACGGCCTGTCCCTTTCAGGATCCGTTTGATGCAGCCGGGTACTACCAGCTGGCACTGGCAGCCGCCGTGGACCTGGGCAACAAGGCACAGCTGAAGATCTACACGTGGCCGGCCACCATCTCCCACAACTTCCTCCTGGACAGCGAGAAGTCGCTCTTCTTCTACCAGAAGGCCAGGACCTTCGCCACAGAGCTCAACGTCCGCAGGGTCAACCTACAGCCTCTGCCACTCTGCGGGTGGGCCCCCTGGTTGACCACTAGCCACCCTCACTGAGGACAGCATCCGAGGCAGTGGGTATTGTGCAAGGAGGATGGTCTCCTGCCTCTCCTGGTGTCTCCCGTGGCTCACTTTCTGGGTAATGGAGGCATGAAAGCAGGGTTCAAATAGCAATAAATGTGTTTTTTTTGCAATAACATACCGAAGTCCCCAAGGCATCCTTCCCTGTGTGCTTCCTGGGCTGTGTCTAGGGGCCAGCTCCTTCCCTGGTGGCAGCCCTCTGATCTTGGGGATGAGAAGGACCCTGAGTCCAACAGACCTGGGTCAGGTCACCATGAGCCTCGGTTTCCTCGGAGACCAGAGGGGAGATGGTGGTGGAACTCCCTGGGCAGCTCCCTGCTCTCCCTGCTCAGAGCTCTTGCTGTAGGTCTCGTGCCACCCTTGCCTTTAACCTTCAGGCCACTATGCCCGGATGTGGGGGCTGCTAGTGTCCTTGTTCGCCATTGAAGAAACAGGCACAGAGAGGTTAGGTGTCTGGCCCACTGTCACACAGCAGGTAGGGACGGAGACGCAGAGCCCAGTTCACTGACCACCACACCACGCTGCCAGCCTGCAGCCAGGAAGGTGTCCCCCATTAGGACCCAAGGCCAGCTCCTGGACCTCTCTTGTGGTGTCAGGACAGCCACAGGCCAGTGAAAGTGGGCCTGGGGATCCCTCTCTCAGTGTCCTCTGCTCCCAGACTCGGTTGGGCCGAGCCTGGCCAGTCCCACCTCTGGCCACTGGTCAGCCCTGTAGTGAGATGCAGGGATCTCCGTCTGTGTAGACGCTGCTACCCAGTATTGAAAGCCTTATCTGGGCTGCCCCCCAGCCTTCCCCCACGTACCCCTCCCGTTCCGGCCCCTGGCCGTCATCCCAGTCCCAGGAATCCCAGGTTTTCCTTCTTGGAATCTCTTGGCCCCAGGGAACACAGTTCACACGGTCTCTTTGCCAGTTTACACAAGAAAACCGAGGTTCAGAGACTATGGGTGTCCCACGTGATTCTCACGTACACTGCACTCTCCCAGGCCCCTCTTTTAAACACTTTAAATGAGGTGACTTTCACATCGCACGCAATTAACTATTTCAACGCGATTAATGTGGTGGCTTTTGTACATTCACAGTCCTGTGCAACCACTCACGCCATCTAGTTTCAAACTATATTCATCTCCCCAGAAGAAACCTCCCATCCTCAGTAAGTAGTTACGGCTCCTTGGAATCCCCCAAGCCCCTCGTTTAATAGAAGGGGAAACTGAGGCCCCGAGAGAGACTTGCCAGTGGGCGGAGCTCTGATAATAAGGAATCAGGCACCCATCTGCTGGTTCAGTCCTGGGTTGGTTTTCCACCCAGCAGAGGTGACAGAGCCAGGAGGTTCTGGGACCCCATGCTTGCAGCCAGAGCCGAGCCCTTCCCTGAGTCTCCCCACCAGGGGGCAGCAGAGAGCTTTCCAGAACTGGCCGCGGGGCTGGCGGGAAGCAGCGGGTCAAAGCTGCTGACAAACCTCAGCTGGACCCCAGATCGCTGTCTCTGTGGGTTGGGTTTGGGAATTGGAGAGGAGGCCGCATGATTGGAAACGTAAAGACAGCACGGCCTGGCTGGAGCAGCCGGAAGCGCCGTCACATTGACTGAGGACACAGACATCCTGCCCGCTGGGCCAGACCTGCAGCTATTCTTCTCGGGGTGGGGCCCGTAGGTCCGGGTTGCTCTTGGTCCCCGACCTGCCTCAGAGTCCGGGGGGCTTTGGAACTCTGCCTCCCCATCTCCACCCATCCTGGCTGATGCCATGAGGGGCCTGGATCCTGGGATCCTGTTCTTCTTGGGCAGCAGAGACTGGGGGACCAGAGGAGATGATGGGTCTTCAATCCCCACATTCAAACCCCAGCCCACCACTGACAGTCTGGGGTTCGGGATGAGGGAGTTGATGTCTCTGAGCCCCAGTTTTGTCACCAC